GGACTGTCCCCAGCTCATCTCACCACCCACAACCCATTCCTCAGGCTTTCTTGGGCAACCCAAGCCCCACCCTGGCCATTTGGTTGTCTCTGCCTGGCACCTCCTAACTGGTTGAACAGGCCTCTGGATACTAGACACCCATGTCTGCAGGGGTCCTGGGTGCTGGTGGTGGGAAAAAGGAAACAGGACAAAGCAAATACCATTGAATTGCCTTGGGGGCCCCAAAGATGTTTCCTGCTGCTCCCCCAGGCTGCTGCAAGATGCTCCTGGGGTTCTCCCCAAGAATTTGCCCCCCTCCCACACAGGCCTATCAGGGGCAGTCTTTTTTTTATCAGCACTTTGGGTTTTAGTTTTAAAGCTCTAGGTACATCTCTCATTTTAAGATGTGTGGAAAGGCCAGGCAAGGACTGCCCGGGTCTGTCATAGCCCAGTCTCTCTGTGGGAGGCCCACCCTCCTCGCTGCACTGGCTCAGCACTGCACCCCCAGGTGCTTCCCAGGGAGAGCCTGCGCCTCCTGGCCTCCGCCAGGTGAGCAACGCTGCGGAGAGCAGCAGATCCTCTGCCGCTTGGTTGAAGGATCTCAATATATGTAAGTGTGTGTATAAATATATATATATATGATAGAGCTCTATTTTTATTCTGGAATTCTGTTAGAAAAAAAAAGGAAACAGGACAAAGCAAATACCATTGAATTGCCTTGGGGGCCCCAAAGATATTGGTAGTCAGTTCTTGGTAATAAGAAAGGCACCAAATGCGTTTTGATTGTATGCCCTCAGAGGAGGTCTTAGCGGGCTGGGCCAAGTTGCTGACAGTTTGCTGATTGAATAAAGAGATCCCTGAATGGGGAAGCAGGTTTGTCTGAAGCAATGTGTTCATTCAGCGCGCAGGTGGCCCCCAGAACGGGCCTTGAGCCGGAGCAGGTATTTCGGAAGGAGAGAGGCCCGAGGAATTATGAAGGCCAAGGCCTGGGCCTCACAGCTGGGGGTGGGGGGTAGAGAAGCGAGGAGGGGAGGGAGGGGCCCGCTGAGGGGATTGTGATTTGAGCCAGTGAGAGGATGAGCATGGTGGAAGAGGTCAGGCTGAAACCTGGAGATGCGTGGGAGGAGGCAGAGGGTCCGGCAGGCCCAGCTAGAGTAGGTCTCATTCTGGACTGCCATCTGTCCCTTAGGTCGGCGGTCACCAACCGGTAGTCCGCAGACCACTGGTGGTCCGTGAGGTCCAAAAGGTTGACGACCGCTGCCTTAGGTGGCCCTGGGCCCCTTGCTGCCTACCTGGCCAACTGGAGAGTCCAGAGCCAAACTGGCAATCTGCACAGAGACTGTTCCAAGGGCACAGCACATGGGGGAGACACACAGGGAGGGGTGTGGTGAGCATCCAGGGGCATTTACATTGGCCGCCTTCACTGAGAGGTCGGTAACAATCCACATCTACTATGCATTATACCACATACCATCCTACATATATTGTACAGTGTGCATGAACATTTTGAAAGGTGACATAAATTTACACAGGAGCTCGGTTTTCTTCGTGTACCCCAAGGGATCATCTGGTGCACCCCCAAGGCTGCACCCGCCCACTTTGAAGACGGCTGCCCTTGAGGCTTTCCCTAGAACTTGGGGCTGGCCTGGACCAGCTTCCTGCTTCCTTGGCCTCACTGTGGCCTGGCCTCCCCCACCCTCAGTTCTATTCTCCGTTACGGCTTTGCTGTCCTAGTGAAGGAGGGTCTGTCTTGGAGCCTTTAGGTGCTCAGGGTATATTTTTTTTTTTCCTAGAGAGAGGAAGAGGGAGAGAGAGAACCATTGATGTGAGAGAGAAACATCTATTAGTTGCCTCCTGTACGTGCCCCACCAGGGATGGCACCCACAACCTGGGTGTGTACCCTGACCGGGAATTGAACCCGGAACCCTTCTGTGCACGGGACGATGCTCCAACTAATAGGCACACAGGGCAGGGCCCAACTTCTCTTTTGCTGTGATGCTTTCTTTTAAGGAAACACATTCACCGTCTTTAGTGATTTAACAATTAGGACCAGATTACTTGTCACATACTCTCACCCCAGTTTATGATCCCCTGGGGTGAAAATTAAAGGCCACAGGTGAGGTGATGTTACCTTATCATCCAACCTGGGAGAAGGTTTTAGAAGCCTCATCCCCCAAGGAAGAGAGTGGAGGGAGGCCATCCTGTTCAATGAGGGCTCTGCTGAGCTGACCTCAAGTGGGTCAGATGCTAAAGTCAGGCAGGGGTGGAGACATGTCCTGACCCCCGTCCTCAGACCCCTTGTTCGCACAAAAACCCTCACTGGAGAAGGAAGGAGCCAGCCCTGTGTCCCACCCACTGTGCCAGAACGAGGGCTGGAGCCTGGGGACAAGACTTGCGTTGCACTATCACCCCCACGGACCTCCGGCCCACCCGTCCCTCTCCAGGACACAGCCCTTCAGTATTAATAGTGTTTATCTGCAGGCACAAATATGAATGGCATTTCAGCCGCCACCACCCAGACTCCTTTCTGGTACCAAAGTGCTCATTGTTTCATTTGTACCCCCTCCCGGGCATTCAGATGTCGTCACCGTGTAAATATTTCTTGGCCTTGTTTGGGAAACAGCCAGCTAACGAAGCCTCCCTCAGCCCGTGCTGCCAGCTCTTGATGGCAACCCACTGCGATCCCAGAGCCCACAGTCCAACCTGGCCTCAGGCGAGGATCGGGGGCTGCTGGGGCCCCGGTGAGAGGCCCCCAACAGCCTGGAGAGGGCTGGGGAGGGTTCTTGGGGCACACGGAGGGCCACCGGGAGGACAGTGTGTCAGCAGCGGAACGCCTCACTCCCATTCCAGCTGCAGGTTAGATAGATGGCGTGGAGGCTGAATAACATCCCCCCAAAGGTGTCCACGTCCTAATTCCCAGGACCTGTGAATACGCTCTCTCACATGGTAAAGGGGTTTTGTGAAAGGCCTTGGGGAGACTATCTGGATTATCCAGGTGAGCCGATGTAACCACAAGGAGCCTTCAAAGAGGAAGGCAGGAGGGTCCGAGGCAGGACCAGAAGCGAAGGGAGCAGGAGTTTGGAGTGATTTGAGGAGAGGACTGCAGATGGTCTCTAGAAGCTGGAAAAGACAAGGAAACGGATTCTCCCTGGGACCTCCAGAAGGAACCCCCCTGCCAGCACCTTGCCTTGAGCCCAGTGAGACTGATTTGGGGACTTCTGAACCCCAGAACTCTAAGAGAATACATGTGTGTTGTTTTAAGCAACAAGGTTTAGGGTAATTTGTTATAGCAGCCACAGGAAACTGATACAGACGGTTTGGATAAAGAACTGCCCCAGGCACAGGACTGGGCAATGGGCTCAGCAGTGCTCTGCGGTCCAGCTCCCATGGCAGCCCAGGACGGGTTGGGGATTAGAAGCCTAAGCAGATGTGACCCTGCCTGGCACGTTTTCAGGGGTCCCCTCTGGTCCTGTGGCATAAAGGAAGCTCCAGCCGCTTCCTTTCTCCTTGATGGCCCTCGGGTACCAGGCAGGACCTCTGAGCTTTGAGACTTCAGAAAAGGGAGGCAGGGGCAGTGGCCAGCCCTCATCAAACACTGGGCTCTGTCTGTGACCTGCACAGCCCCCAGGGCCCTGCCTTGCTGCCCCACCCTGGCCCCTCCCGGGCTGCTCAGTCCCAGTGTGGTGAGGCATAGAAAACCTTGTCTGCCCCTGCCACCTGCCCCCCCTAGTCCACTCTGGTGACCAGAGTTGCAGTGTCACAGGACACCTTCCTGTCCACAGTCCTCGAGGACTAAGCCACACTCCCACCCAAAGCAGCCACACTGCTACCTCCCTCCCCTGCTGGCTGGGCCTCTCCCACCCCCCTCCCCCGCCCCCACTCTTCAGAAGGGTGACACCTTTTCTGGGATCTGACATGCCAAGGGTGTTAACAAGGCAGCCAGGAGCACCCGCTGGGAGACAATTCTCCATGTGTCCACCCCCTGGGCCTCCCCTTCCTCCAGCCACTCCTCCTTCCTGCCTATCCTCCAGGCCTGCCTTTCTTACTCACCAGCCTCTGAGGATTCAGCCTGGACTCCCCCTGCCATCCAGAGTGGCTTCTTCTCTAGGGAGGCTGTTGATCAGCCCTGCAAGGTCTGGGTCTCCAGCGCTGGCCCCCACTAGCCCACCCAGCCCCTGCAGCCCTGAATCCAGAGCCCAACCCCGCCCGCCCCCCCCCCCAACCCCCACCCCACCCCAACACACACACTTTGGGCCTGGCAGGCTTGGCAAGCCAGCAGCCATGCCTTTGGCCAAAACCAAAGATCTGTGAGGAGCCCAGAGAGGGGTCAGGCTGGCAAGAGGTGCCTGGGTTCAGGGCCCTGCTGTCCTTTCTACCCAGAACAACCTCTGCCTGGTACTGCTCTAGGCACTAACTTCACCCAAACTGGCCCTGCGCCATCCTTTTTCCTTTAGACTCAGATGCTAATGCAGGTCAATCTCTTCTTCATACCTGGAGAGGGACCTCTAGGGCAAGGGCCCTGCTCATAAACCTGTAGGGGTGGGAGAACTACCTGTGCCCTCACCCAGAGTTATTGGTGCTTGGTGCCTCCACACCATCTTAGGGGTGGTTCTCAACCTTGGCCACTCATTGGAATCAACTGGGGTGGGGGAGGGGGGGACAAGCTTTTTAAAAAAAAAAAACAAAAAACTGGGCCTGAGTTCTACCCCCAGAGAGTTTGATGTGGTCTGTTTGGGCGCTGACAACACCAAGAATTTTAAAGTCTCCCCAGGGGATTCTGAAATGCAGCTTAGAACCACTGATTCTGAACTTGTAGATTTTGAACTGTATTTTCAAGATAACAGGGCTTTCAAAGCAATCCTAGGATCAGGAACCTGAGTCCTGTGCTGCATCTAGGTAGGTGGCATCCAGCAGGTGAGAGATGACGCTGGAGGCAGGGCCAGTCACCTAAAGCATCCTGTAGCCCTGTGGGTCTGGAAGGTGTCACCTGCAGGTCCAGAAAGCAGTGGGGGTGAGGAAGGAGAGAAAGAGGGGAGGAGAGGGGGAGGACACACTGTCCCCAGCAGTGCTGTGACTTTTGACATGCTCTGACTTAATGGAGAGGAATTTCACATGGAAATAGCAGAAGACATTTGCAGCCAAGAAGAGCCATTTCCTTTGGTTGAAGCCAAATTCAGAGGAGAAAGGAACAGAGGCTGCTCAGGGACACCAGGCAGGGATCTTGAGGAGCCAGTGTCACAGCAGCCGAGGGAGGAGGGGTCCTGCAGGGAAGGCCTCTGGGGCTTAGGATGCAAGTCTCTTCCATCTGCACTAGGCTTTGCTGAGCCCTTGTGGCCATATCATTTGATGTGCACAATGGCCCTAATTGACAGGTGTTACTATCCCAATCTCAGAGCTCAAGCTTGAGGTCAACTCAGGTCTGTCCGTCTCTCCATCTTGGCAAGGACAGGAGGAGCCCTGCTCTTCAAATAGTGTCTCGATTTTAGGCTTGTGGCGAGAGAAAGCCATCCAGAATCCCTCCGGCCTCTTTGGGAGAGCCTCTCCCTAACTGTATAAAATTCTATAAAATATTGGAATACGCCAAAGAGGAGAAGTAAAACATTCTCCTCACCACCTAGATCCTGCCAGCACCTCGGTGACTACCTGGCCAAAGTTATGGCCTCTCCCCATAACAAAGAAACAATTTCCGGAGGATGAGGCCCAGAAATCAGGATTTTAAAGAGATTCCCAGGTGATTCTAATGTACAGCCAAGGTTGAGAACCACTGCTCTAGAGCCACTTCCCTGAGCACCAGGTGCAACTGGAGAAAACACCTGTCAGCATCAGCTGATCCAGCGGAGACTCTGACCCACTTGGAGAATGAAAGGCGGAACTACCTGCCCTGTGGCCACCCTCTGATCTAAGTGGGACAGGAGCCAGCGCCTGAGACATCCTCTGATCTTCCAGTGGCTCTTAGGCCCTGAAGGAACGCAATGCTGGGCGTTCTCCCACAAATGGGAAATTTAAATGAATTCAGTGAGATGGGCCTGTCCTTCCTTGCCCCCAATACCCCTTTGATAAGCATTTACAAGACTAGAGAAATATAACAAACTCCTTTTAAAATATAACAAACTATTGTATAAGCATTTTTTAAAGTTCCTTCCAATTATTGATCAGTGACTGGAATCTCCTCGCCCTTTGTGAGACCCCAGCTCTCATGTGTGGCATCTCTCCAGCGCAGCTCCCTGAGCAGGCCTCCTTGGCATGCGCGGCTGCCTATGGTCCCGGCCTTCTGACGGAACCTCACCCAACCCCCTCCCATCCTCCATGCCAGTCCGGCCAGGCTAGGCTCCCTCTGTTCCCCTCCAGCAAATGTTTATTCCTTTTGCGCCATCCCCCACTACCACAAATTGTGCAGTCGAGTTTCCCACATTTGGGGAAATTGCAACGGTCAGCACATGCGGAATGCAATAGATAGGCCTCGCCCTGGGAAAACCACCTACGTGATCATGGTGTCTCCCCTACCAGGTAAGTATGCAAATGTTTATCCTTGCCTTTTGTCCAAACCAGGTTCCTTGCCTGCCACCTTCTTACCTCTCCTCACTGCCTCTCAGCCTCTTGGTCCCTTGGCTGTCCTCCCGCATGCTGCCTTTTCCCTGCTTCTGACTGCCTGGGCCTTCGTTGGAGAAATTGTTCCTCTGGACACCAGCTTCCTGAGACGAGGGCTTGTCCTCTCGGTGAAACTGCCCCTGAGCTCCCAGCACCAGAAGGAGGTGCTTGGCCCAGCATTCAAAGCCTTCCTCCAGCCGAGGACCACCCCAAACTACTCTCCTGGCCTCATCTCCCCTACAGCCCTCCCCAAACTCAGTCACATGCCTCCATCTTTTTTTTAAGCCCGCACACCCCAGTCCCTACACAGCACCTGGCACAGAGCAGATACTCAAAATATTTGTGTTGACTTGAAACCACAAATACTCGTGGAGTTGAATAAATATTGTTCTTTTCAAGGAGTTGAGAGAGAGAAAGAACCACCTGTTGGGATCCCATGAAGCTCAGCTTGGCCTTGGTTGAATGCGCACCCCCACCCCCTGAAGTCTCCCTGAGGCCGAGAGGTATTGCAACCCTCATGCAGTCCAGGCCCAGCCGGAGGGTCGAGACCCACAGAGCACGGCCTGGACACATCGGGCCTGTCTAAGCTGCTGCAAGGGCAGCCGGGAAACTCTCCAGGAAGACGACCTTTGACAATACACAGATTGAGCACAAAACTTATTGTTCCAATCAGGACACTTTTGAGAGTGAACTGGAAGTTGTGCTGGGATTAGTCCAGGTAAGCAGGCTGGGTGGTCACTCGGGGCAATCTGTTCGGTTCTGTATTCAAACCCTCCTAAGAGTAAACATAATAGAGTTTTCCAAACGTAATGACTTGCTAAAACAAAGCAGCTTAGCGCAAAGATGGCTTTATTTTAAAAGCCAATTGTGTTGTTGAAGAAAAGACTATGTTCTCGCCCCATTCTGGCTATGCTCCGGGGCTGCTTGGGGTATTGTGCTGAAGATGTGTATGTTCCTGGGCCCGGGGTTCTCTGAAAACAGAACAGGAAAGGACGCTGATGAGAGCGTGACACCAAAACCCTGGAGCCTGCTGAGCCTGGCCGCTGGCTCAGGTGTGGCCGGCAAACCCCACAGAGGGAGACAAGGCCCGGGGCACCCTTGCACCAGCGCATGTCCTCCGCGCTCAGACCTGCTCCTGTCGGCCCCTCTCCCCATGGCTGCCCAGGTGCTGAGAGACAAGCAAGCAACGGGGCCTAGACCTGCGGGGGTGGCAGCTCACATGCCACCTCTGCCTCAAGGCACGCTCGCTCCCACAGGGCAATCTGTCCCTGGGCATGCCTCGGCGTCCCCTCTAGTGAACCTCCCCTGGCGGTAAGGGGTTGGAGAGAGTGCACTCTGCACCTGAGTGGTTGACCTCAGAAGCCCCAACTCGTGAGTTTCTATCGCTGACCCAGCACGAGTAGTAAGGCATTTCTCTGCCACGGTCTGTGGGCCCAGGGTCAGCGTATTCTAAGGGGCCTATGAGTTCTACTTTTTTAAAAGTCATGTTTTCATTTTGATGAAATTCTTTAAGAAATTATTGTGCCAATTGTTTAGACAAAGCTTCTGTTGTGTGGTGATAAATGCAAATGACTGTCATTTCCATAAACTACGACTTGGATTTCTTAGGCCAGTGTTTTCCATGCTGGGGTGCCCACATATTCTCGAAACCCAAGGGAATTTTATCTTGGGTTGCTGGAGGGACACCAGGTTCTGTGTGTCCGGTTAAGGGAAGAATTTTATTGTCAGATAGGCCTGGGTTCAGGTCCTAGCCTCACCCCTAATGGCTCGGTGTGTTCTTGGGCCATGGGCTTCCCAGGCCTCCCCCATCAAATGAGGTTCTGAGGCTCACGGGAGGCCCTCCAGGACAGGCGCTCCACACGCTCCACACACCAGCTAGCCCTGTTATCACCTTCTTGTCATTTCCTTCCTTCCTTGCAGCTTGTTATCTCTTCGGGAGACAGTGAGAGTGGAAATTGGATTACTCTGAGAGTGGGACAGAGTCAGCCCGGCCTGGATGAGGTCAGCTGCCTGCAGAAGCCGCTTTAAATGACAGGATGTTTCCTTTGCCAAAAGCAGAGGAGCAGCCTGGAAATCTCATCAAGTCCTGGCCGGATGTCAAAAAAGCTGAAGCCTTTATTAGTGCTGTTAATGAGGAAGCAGCCTGTGGGAGAAGTCCTGGAAAACGGGCCCATAGGATAGGTTTGTGGGTCTGCACGGCCCCTCCCTCTGCCCCCCCCCCCCACACCCACCAAGACCTCCCCTCAGGAGGCTGCCGATTACGATTCTGAAACCTTGAGAACATCTGGCTCCACCCCCCAGCCCTGATTTCACTGTCACCAGCAAGCTCCTGGTTGTCCTTGGCTTCCATGAAGAGCTTCCTATAATGGGAGACACTCCACAGAGTAGCAGCCCCAACACCAGCAACCCCTTTCTGGCTTCTCCAGCATTTCCTGGGGGTTTGGTTAGCATGGCTCCAGCTTCCTGGGGATGCTCAGCCCTGTGAGCACCAACAAAATTCTGCATCTGGATCATGGCGATGCCGTTAGGGTATGAGGATCTGATTAAGGAATCCACCAACCTCCTGTTGTCCATTAGTTTTTAGTTTTATTGGCAGGGACTCCCCAGTATTCATACCTCCAGATAAAGACTGCACTACCCCACACTACAGCTGGCAACTCTGGAACAAGATCCTGCAGGCAAGCGCCTGGGCCACCCTCTCCCAGCCACTGCCCAGCTTCCCCTGCCCTCCTTCCCCCAGGGTAGGTCCCTTTCCTTACAGGCGGGATTTAAATTCCTGTCTCCCAACTACCTCAAATCTGGTTATATACCAGCAAGTTTGAGAGACTTTCAGACTGTGTGCAGGCTGGAAACACCAAAGCCATGAAAATTAAAACTGTCTTTTAGCATTAAAAAAAAAAAGGCCACTGTTCATAAACTCCATGTTATGCTTTTGAGATCTTCCTTGGTCTTCCCTGGGTCTTTGAGGCCCGCACACTCCCAGAATCTACCTGCTTTATATCTCTAAGTGGACTTGTGCCTCTTCCCTGTCTCCTGAGTCCTTAAGGGCAGGATGATTGCTCATGCCCTCATGGTCTCCTTGGGTTCAATAATAATGTTTCTGCTCTTCCTTTTTGCTCTTAGAAGCCACACACACAAAGAAAGACAGTTCTGGATGGAGAGGGCAGCCACTTGTCCACTGCCTGCTTCAATTCATTAAAGGCGTTTCCCCACAAAGCACCCAGGTCATAGCATGGATGTCTAATCACTGTGCTGGCTCCTCTCAGCTGGACCCATAATGCAGCTGCAGTCTTCAGGAGCCACCTGGGCCTGAACCTGGCCCAGGGCTTGCCAGGTATTTGAGCTCTAGACTCTGCTGCCTTGACAAGCAATTACACACACACACACACACACACACACACACACACACACACGAATTGTTATATAATACCCCCCATCCCACCTTCACAACCTCCCCCCCTCCAGCACATGGCCATAAAACTTACAACCACAATCTGCCCTTTAGAATACTTACCGAACAAGCAGGCAAGAATCGAGGTACTTTGGATCGAAAACAAGAAGTAACGGAACTTGCTGAAGGTATTTTCAAGTCATAATGACCTGGTCCTGGGCCTTCATGCTATAGAAAAGTTTTTAAAAAGTGCTTTATAATTACTAATATTTGATATATGTTAATGCTTTATTTGCCTTCTATAAATAAACAGATGAATCAGTGTGACATGGTAGAAAAACTGGATTGGGGCTTGGAAGATCTTATTCATGTGTGCCCTGGCACACGTCATTGTGAAATGGGAAAAATACCTGCTTTATCTACTTTACCTGCCTGTGGGATGACTGTGAAGATGAAAGGTTAAGTGACTGTAAAAGTCTCCTGAGCCCCTCCCACACTGGCATGCCTCAATCCATACTTGTCCCTCTGTTAATAGTGGCTTGCACTCTGAGCTGTTAGCTGTATAAAACACGCTTATTCTTTCATATAACTGTAATAAATGGTATCTAAGTACAAACAAGTATTCACAGCAACTTACTGACATAAGTACAATGCCATGAGATTGACATAAGTGGATGGACACAATTTTAAAGACAAACATCCCAAGAGAAAAATTAGCAAAAGGCAAATTCACAAAGAGGAAATACAATTGTTCAATGAGGAGTGGGAGGGTTTAACCTTATTAATAACCAAATAAGTTTTCATTAAAACAATAAGATTCTTTGGGGAGGGGGTCTAGAAAATTAACCAAGGTAAAAAGAAAGAAGGAAAAAAGGAAGGGAGAGAGGAAAGGAGAGAGAGAGAGAGAGAGAGAGAGAGAGAGAATATGGAAGGACACCAGCATGGACACTCATACATAATTCTGGTGGAAGTATAAATGTGATTGCCTTTCTGGAACACAATTTCGCAACCTATGAAATAAGTTAAAAATATATATACCTATCCAAATGGAGAGAAAGAAGAGAGAGACTGGTTACAAGACTGTTGCAGAAATCCAGTACCAGTTAAAAATGTGGATTTTGTAATCAAAGAAAACACAATAATTTTAAGAGAAACATCAAAAATGCTTTATTCACAGTAATGTCCATCGCTAGCTACACATTTCCCCCATCTTTCAGGTAATTTGTGGATACCGTCCCAATAGAACTTTTCTTGTTTTGAGGCAGACCTTCAGAGACCCAGTTTTCCACTTTTTCGTACGTTTTGAAGTGCTCCTCAGAAAGTGCATGTGTCATCGATCGGAACAAGTGATAATCTGAAGGAGCAAGGTCTGGTGAATACGGCGGGTGGGTTAATACTTTCCAGGCAAGATCTTTTAACGTGTCTTTAACTGGTTTTGAAGTGTGTGATGGTGCGTCATCATGAAGCAAAATTACTTTGCTGTGTCTTCTGGCCCATTCTGGTGGTTGTACGATAAAAGCGTGGTTCAAATTGATTATTTTCTGCTGGTAGCAATCAGTATTAATGGTTTAACCTGGTTTTAGAAGCTCATAATACCACACCTTCCTGATCTCACCAAACGCAGAGCATTGTCTTTTTTCCGAAGCGATTTGGCCTTGCAGTCAGTTGATGTTGATGGTTGACCTGGATCAACCCATAATTTTGTGCATTTGGGATTCTCAAAATAAATCCACTTTTCATCGCCAGTCACAATTCGATGCAAAAAATACTTTCTTTCGTGCCGTTGAAACATTTTACTGATGACTTTTCCGTTTTCCATTTGTCTTTCGTTCAGTTGACGTGGCACCCATTTTCCTTCCTTTAAAATCTTTCCCATTGCTTGTAAACGATCAGAAATTGTTTGCTGAGCAACGTTTCCTCTTTCTGCAAGTTGTTTTTGAGTTTGACACGCATATTCACCCAATAATGCTTGTAATTGTTGGTCTTTAAACTTTTCCGGTTGACCTAGACGTTCTTTGTCTTTCGCATCGAAATCATCACTTTTAAAGCATTTAAACCAGCGTTCACAAGTATCTTGAGATGGAGCATGTTCACCATAAGCTTCCCGAAGTATACGATAACTTTCAGCAGCACTTTTCTTCAAAATAAAGTAATGAATTAAAACTTCCCGCATATGTAATACTCTTTGTAATACTTTAAGCAATAAAACAATAAAATAAAAAAATAAAAACTTCCCGCAAATGCTCTTTTTTTGGCATGAAATTCTACATTTTTAAGCGTAAAAATATCTATGATGTTAACACCTTCAGAAAATTTGACATGAAGTTGTTTTTTTAATATATTTCTTTATTGATTTCAGAGAGAAAGGGAGAAGGAGAGAGAGATAGAAACATCAATGATGAGAGAGAATCATTGATCGGCTGCCTCCTGCTTGCCCCCCACTGGGGATCGAGCCCGCAACCCAGGCATGTGCCCTTGGCTGGAATCGAACCTGGGACCCTTCAGTCCGCAGGCCAACGCTCTATCCACTGAGCCAAGCTGGCTAGGGCTTGACATGAAGTTTTGAAGCTTGTTGTCAATACAACAAAATAGCATACATATCAAATCGCATATATATCAACATTTGTGTAACTCCATCTATTGAAAAAAAATCGCATTATTAACCAGTACACCTGGTAAATGAATCTGAAAAAGGAATAAAAGAGAAAAGGAGGTAGGGAAAAAAGATAAAATGATCAGAACAGAAGACTGTATCCCTTATCATAGGTAAGGCTGGGCCACAAATTAGCCAAGGGATTTGGCAGGACAAGCAGGCCCTCCGAGGGCAGGATTCAGGAGCGGGGCTTCCCCGTTCACTCCTGCGGGGGGCACAGCAGTGTAATTAGGGCTCCAAACTCAATTACTGCACCATGAATGGAGTCTGTTATTAACAGCCAAGCACAAGTCTGATAATCAAGGGATGGATGCACCTCATAATTTTACAACTCATGGCAGAGAGATAAAAACAGTAATGTTTTCAAACACATGCATATGTGGGACGGAGATGTTCTCTGTGCGGAGTGACCTCTGCACTCCCACTGGAGAAGTCTGAGCCGCCCCACAAAGGCATAGAAAGCCAAGGGGATCTGGACAGGGACAGTCTGTGCAACGTCCCCTTCGTTTGGCCCTAATAAGCACAGTACCCTCAAGCCCAGAGTGGTAGCTGGGCAAAGCTGTTGCTGAGTGTGCTACCACTGGCTGCATGCCTACGACAGCCCAGCTTCTGCAGGATGGCCAAGAAATGCCACCACCTATACCTCCCCTCCTACCCGCCAGCCTAATGTGCTTTCATTCTAAGCTGCCAAGTCATGAGCTCCTTGGGAGTCCAGGTGCCTAGCTAGCGAAGACTGATGTCTGCCTGCACCATCCAGCAGCCTCCCTGCATGGGCTTAGCCACCTGAATTAAAAAAGACCAAGACTCGGGGCAAAAAGAAATGACTGGATGCTATTTGCCCCACATGTGTCAGATGAAATCTTCTAAGTGGGAACATTAAGGAAGTGGACATGGGCCCAAGCTCATATTCCAGAAGCCACAGGAATACTGTTCTAAATGAAAAGTAATGATCGGGTCAGAGTCCTGCGATGGGTGGGAAACGTTTCCAGCAGAGTCCTGGCTTCTGCCCCCGGGAGGACACGTGAGTGGGCAGAGCAGGATGCAGGGAAGGGGACACTGGCCAGGAGGGCTCTGAATGCACGTCGAAGAGTGGGTCTCATTCAATGGAAGGGGTTTAAAACAAGAACTTGGAACTGTGCCCTACTCTTCTTTGTGGTTGGGGACTCTGCTCCCTCATTTACTGGGGATCACTGAGTGTGACCCAGAGCTTTGGTCCACATAAGGTGGGATGCATGGGTGAAGGGCGGCACCTCTTGCATACATCGAATGGGTCACTTCTTAAACCTAGCTATTGTCAGGGCCATGCTTTGGCAACTCTGGGTTTCCCGAAACGAAACCTTTCAGAGACCACTGACATTTGGTGCCAAGGGAGAACAGAACCGTCACCTTCCTCGAGTCTGCTGCCAAAAGCAACTACAGGAGCCCTTTTATAGTAGCCGCTCTTCTGCTTTGGGGCATGATTATATCTCAACCCTCCTGACAAGATGATAATATCTTTCTCTTCCCTTTAAAAAGTCCTATTTAATTGAGTTTCTACTTGAGGAGCTGTAGGGATTACACAGATGAATACTATCTTTAAGCTCAGAGTTCATAGTCCAGTGAGGGACACAGGCAAAACCAAATAAAAACACCCCAAAAGAAGAAATAAGGTGTGAGGAGCTGGCAAGGTGCTGAGTGAGGACTGAGCGAGCTGCCTGGCTCCAGGATTCTACGCCAGGCCCTGGCGGAACCGGCCTGTGCCAGCTACGTGTGATCTCGGGGGCCACGGGGGATTTCAAGGGCAGGAGCTTTCCACTCACCGCAAAGGACTCGAATGCGAAGGCCCCACTGACTTTTCTGCAGTGCTTCTGGGTTCCCATCATACCATGAAGAAGTTTGATTCATTTGGTTATAACCGCTTATGGCCAATGACGCTTATTACCATTATAGGCCTTTGGTAAGCCCTGCCATCCCCCCACCACGCACACTCCTTCAGGGCTGAGAGAATGGAACTGGTTCATCCACACAACACTGCTCAGGAAGGACAAGGTACCAGGTGCCTCTGAAAGACTGTGTGAGAGTAGATGAATTACAAGTTTGTTTGTGTTGAATTATGTCCTTCCAAAATTCATAAATCCTGTGACTCTTTGTTCTGTTGAATACTAGTGTTTCCCCCCTCCCCCCTCCCCCCACCAAGTTCACAAGTCCTATGACTTTTGAATTCCCAGTAGCTCAGAATGTGACCTTATTTGGAAATAGGGTCATTCCAGATGTGATTAGTGAAGATGAGGTCATTAGGACGGGCCCTAAGCCAATATGAATGGTGCTCTTTATATAAAGGGGAATTTTGGACTCGGAGACACGTACACAGGGAAAACACCCCGTGAAGATGAAGGCAGAGATCTCTCGGAAGATTGCCAGCAAACCACTGGGAGCTATGAGAGGAGTGGGACAGAAGGAACCACATGGCTGGCACCTTGATCTTGGACTTCTAGATTCTAGAAGAGTGAAAAAAAATCTATTTCTGTTGTTTAAGTCGCTCAGTTTGTGGGACTTAGTTACAGCAGCCCTAGCAATTAAATACACAAGTGTTCAGCCCATTTCTTCATTCAACTAATATATTACAATGTGCCACACAGTGTGCTGGGAGTTGGGAATACAGCAGTAAATAATTGTCTCCCAATATCCTTTCTCCTATTCCTTGGTATTAGAATAATTTTTAACTGGGCACATGTCTACCCAGAATAAAAACTAAATTTCCCAACCTCCCTTGCAGCTAGGTGTGGCCACATGGCTAATTCCTGGCCAATAGGATGGAGATAGAAGAAGTGTATGCAAATTCCAAGGAGCATCTTTAAGGAGAGAGCTGCTTGTCCATCTTCTCCGCCCTCCTGCCTGCCAGCTTGTCCCATATTCTAGGCTCTCTGGGACCATGGGAATGGAAGCCATGCTTAGCAGAGCAGCACACCGGAATCTGATGCTGTGGAATGCCATCCCAAGCTGAAACCACCTACTACAGGCAGTTTGTACGAGAGAAAATAATGTTCCTACCTTGTTTAAAATAGTCATGTGGGGTCCTTGTTACTGGCTTAATTGAAAAGATATACTCTCATGGAGCTTACATTCTAACAGGGAATATATACCTTACTAAAAAATATACTGACAAATGTGTGGAATATCACACAAAGGAACACATACAGTGCTATGGGAGAGCATGTAAGAGGGTAAACTGATCTGATTTGAGGGGCCTAAGAAGCCCCTTAAAGAAGTACATTTGAGCAGAAACTTAAAGAACGAGGAGGAGGAGGAGGAGGAGGAGGAGGAGGAGGAGGAGGAGGAGGAGGAAGAGGAGCCTGTATGGTAAAAAGGCTGATGGGAGGGTTTGAGGAAGCAGTAATAGGAAAGGTTAGGGAAGGCCAAAGCGGGCAGGGAGCCTAGAGAGGAGGATGTTGTTCAATTTAACCCTGTAGTCAAATTCACTGCATCACAAACAATAAAATAAAATAAAGTGCATAGGCTCCTGTCAAAAATACAGTTAGGAATGTAAAATTCAGCCTTCTCTCTACAGTTAATCACTTTG